AAAGCGAGGAGGACTTAAAGAACCTTGTAATGAGGGTGAAAGAGGAGAGTGCAAAAAATGGTCTGAAGCTCAACATCAAAAAAACTAAGATCATGGCCACTGGTCTCATCACCTCCTGGCAAACAGAAAGGGAAGATATGGAGGCAGTGACAAATTTTACTTTTTTGGGCTCCATGATCACTGCAGATGGTGACAGCAGCCATGAAATTAAAATACACCTGCTTCTTGGTAGGAAAGTGATGACAAACCTCGACAGCATCTTAAAAAGCAGAGACATCACCTTGCCAACAAAAGTCCGAATAGTCAAAGCTATGGTTTTTCCTATAGTGATGTATGTAAGTGAGAGCTGGACCATAAAGAAAGCTGACAGCCGAAGAATTGATGCTTTTCAATTGTGATGCTGGAGGAGGCTCTTAAGAGTCCCCTGGACTGCAAAAAGAACAAACCTATCCATTCTGAAGGAAATCAACCCTGAGTGCTCACTGGAAGGACAGATTCTGAAGCTGAGGCTCCAATACTTTTGTCATCTCATGAGAAGAGTAGACTCCCTGGAAAAGACCCTGATGTTGGGAAAGTGTGAAGGCAAGAGGAAAAGGGGATGAAAGAGGACAAGATGGGTGGACAGTATCATCAAAGCTATCAACATGAATTTGATCCAACTTCAGGAGGCAGTGGAGAACAAGAGAGCCTGGCATGCTCTGGTCCATGGGGTCACGAAGAGTCAGACACGACTTAACAACTAAACAACAACAACAAAAACTGTTTTAGAAAACTAAGGAATATTTCTTTCTTTTATCAGCATTATCAAAACAGAATCATGCTTCAAGAGCTTGAAAAATGCACTCATCCACTCGTCTGTGACAAGTGAAAAATGCTGCTGGGCAACTCTCTCTCTCTTTTTAATCCTACAGTCCTCCCCTCCCCCCTCACATTACAAAAGGAAAATTGCACTCTTCTCAGGAGAAGAGAGTCTGAGAGGCACATAGAGAGATATAGCTCTGCAGGAGAATGTTGAGTAGTCCCATGCTGGAGAATATGGAGATTCCCTGCTCCCAATTTCAACTGAATGAAGACACATCCTGGAGTGGGAGGGAACCGTGGCTCCTTAAGAGTCTGGGCACTTTTGCTTTTTCCACTACCACAGTTTAACACTACTAAAGCCATCAATAAATGGTACTTCAGTGCTAAAACTACCAGGCATGTTCAAGGACACAGGTGCAACACCTCTGACAGCAGTGCATTTTCTACTAAGATGACATAGGCGAATGCCGTGTACGTAGTACAATTTATTTTGGGTTTGTATGCATTGTTATCTAGAAGTAAAAGTGAACAAGTGCCTAGTCTAAATTTGTTAACATAAATTGCAAGGCTACAGTCTGGTCATGCTGACTGGTAAAAATTTTTGACTGACTGGTAAGACATTCTAAAATTTCTCAAGCCCTGTACATCTGTGACACTTTTAACTAATTCACACGTGTGTAAAATCTATATTGTTTGCAAATATTCATGTCCTACAGTCAGTGATTCTAAGGCATATTTTGTCATTGTAGGATGGGCAAGAAATGTTCGGATAAATGTGAAAGTGTTTTACATATTATTATTCATAAAAGGATAACTTCACAATAAAACCTTTAGAGGTTTCATTATTAAAACTTTAGTAAAACTCCAATTTTATACACATCAAGAAAATTAAACGATTAGTCCTTCAAGTAGCAGATCTCAACACCTTAGAAAAACACAAGCAAAAAATATATACTAATATCCATACTTCCTACATTCTTGTTTTATTACTGTTGAATGTAGTTCACATTCATAATCTATTTATAATCCTCAAAGTAACTGTGTAGTAAAATAAGACGTGCTTGGTAGTAATATAAGACACACAGAGTTTCTGTGACAGAACTTACCAATACAAGCATTAAGAAATAGCCAGTCAGTCTTCTTCATTCTGTTTTTTATTTGCTTTAGTTTTTTGAAGTCAACTTCCAGTTCTTCCTTACTACCTACAGCTCCAGCCAGCTCAATTCTCTGAAAGTCCATCTGCACTTCAGATTCCCGTTTGGTTGTAGGAGGTGATCTTCTTTGGCTATTACCACTACTACAGCTTCCCCTCCATCGAGTTCTATCTTGCTCATTTATTATAGAAGATGCCTCTTCCGTTTCTGCCAATTCTATTGCTTCAATGTTGTTGGGTCTTGGATGATCACACACAACACATTTTTTGGCCTTGGCCCAGTTTTCATATGTACAAACAGAACAAGTCCAGTGTTGTGTCCTCATGTTCAATTTATTTCTATCATTGTACTCCTCACAAGGATCCACGGAGAAAGGAACTGGTCTAGAACCAGATCCTGAAGACTGCGGAGATTCTGTGGGGCTCCTGGTCCTACGCTGAGACAAGCACTGAGTGCACCTTATTGCACGAGGCCAATTCAAGTATGTGCACATGTGACATGACCACTTGTTTGCACTTTCCATACTGTAGGATGAGTTAACTCTTGGTCTTGCACTAGAATCTGGGCATATCAAAGGGCTGCTGCCTCCTTCAATACTTGCAGGATCCCAGTCTCTACCAACATCACATGAACCACTCTTGAACGGATCTTCTGTGATTATAGTTCCACTAGGCCTCTGAGCACGGCACATGGTACACTTGATTGCAGATGGCCAGTTCTCATATGTACAATACTCACAGGCCCATTTTATTCCACGTTCTGTCATCCTGCACTACTCAAAGTAAATCGTTTCAGGCAGAAAGCTTTAAAAAAAAGAATAAAACAAACTTATTAGAACATTCAAATGACAAGCTGTTCACAACTCTGAAGGGGGTAAAATCCATCAGAATAATTCTAATAAGATTTAACTCCACTCAGACAAAATGTTAAAACTATAGCTTAGTATTACTATACTAAAACGATTCTCCTTTGTGAACTGGAGCAGGGAGATTAGGAGTGTGAAAACGTTTACTTCCAATTCTGAACCAACATTAATATCCTATAACTGCAGTTTTCTCTTATATCCAAACTCGGGAAATTAGTTAATTAGAAAGAAAAACAGGATGAAACTGTAGATTCTAGTTTGAAATGAACTACATGTTGAATAAACCATAGGAAGTAGACACTGCATGAGCCGGAGATTCATCACAGCTCATTCTTGTAATGCTAAACTATCACATCTGACCTGGGATTTAATTACACTTAAAATACCTTTACTCCACAACAAAAGAGATTATACTTTCTGGTAGAAGCTAATAATCAATCATTAGCTGCCCTGATTATTTCCTCTTTTTTGCACTGATCATCAGGAACAGAAGTGGTGATAGTTTATTACATGAAATATTCTGACTGTGGCTTTGAGAAAAGAGTGTACATACAGATAGATTTTTCTTCAGGTTCAAGGAGTGTATGGTCAAATATTGCCCAAAAATACAATAACAGCATTACAAAATAATTATGATTATGTACTTCTATAATGAGACGTGGTGGCGCTGCGGGTTAAACTGCTGAAGACCTGCAGTTGTAAGATCGAATCCACGTGATGGAGTGAGCTCCCATGGCTTGTCCCAGCTCCCGCCAACCTAGCGGTTCGGAAGCATGCAAAATGCAAAAATGTGATAAATAGGTACCACCTCGGTAGGAAGGTAAACGGCATTCCATGTCTAGTCATGCTGGCCACGTGACCATGGAGGATTGTCTGCGGACAAACCCTATGGGTTGGAAATGGAGTTGAGCACCGCCGCCTAGAGTTGGACATGACTGGACAAATTGTCAAGGGGAACCTTTACCTTTTTACTTCTATATGTAAATCAGATACAGCGGTGCCTCAACTTATGACTGTCCCTGCTTACAACCAGCTCCCGTCGCAAAAGTTTGCTTCAACGTGCGGCTGGAGCTTCCAGTTATGAACACAAAAAGGCAGGGGGGAAAGGCAGGAAATTCAAATTGCTAACTGTAGGTGGTGACGAGGCTGCTTCTTTGTAGCTCTTTCGCCCCAGCAGTTAGAGTGTGTGCGATCGGAGAAGGCTGCCTGATAAGGTAAGGTGCTGTTTTCTGCTTTTTAAAAACTGTTCTGGGCAAGTTTTGCAGCGTGGTTTTGGGCTGGGGGATATGTTTCTGTGCTGTGCTTTTTTTTTTTTTGCAGCCCCAGTGCCTTGCAACGGGGCTTGCTTTGTTGTTTATTTTTGTTTTTGTTTTTTTTAGCCCCAGCGACGGAGATTGCTGTGTGCTTTATTTTTGGTTTTGTTGTTGTTTTTAAAGTCCCAGTGATGGAGCTTGCTTTGCTGATTGTTTTTGTTCTTGTTTAAGGCCCAATGATGGAGGTTGCTTTGCTGTTTATTTTTGGTTTGTTTGTTTGTTTTTAAGCCCCAGCGCCTTCTGACCAGGCTTGCTGTGTGCTTTATTTTTTTTCCCTGGAACAGATTAATCGTGTTCCAATGCATTTCAATGGGAACTGGTGCTTCGATTTACAACCATTTCGAGTTACGTCCATCTGCTAGAACGGATTATGGTCATAAGTTGAGGCACCACTGTAACTCTGTGTCTCAAATTCTAGAATCAGCAATTCACTATAACTGCTGCCAACCTAGCAGTTCGAAAGCATGTAAAAATGTGAGTAGATAAATAGGTACCACCTCGGTGAGAAGGTAATGGTGTTTCATGTCTAGTTGCTCTGGCCACATGACCACGGAAACTGTCTTCGGACAAACGCTGGCTCTATGGCTTGGAAATGGGAATGAGCACCACACTCTAGAGTCGGACACGACTGGACTAAAAGTCAAGGGGAACCTTTACCTTTACCTATAACTCCAGAATCTGGAAGACACTGAGTTCTTGGAGGTGATGGAAGGTTTTATTTTGTTTTGTTTTAGATAACTATAGATTTCAGGAAAAAATTCTGCATTTACTTTTTCTATACTGAAAAAGTATATAAGTATTTTGTCTCTATGCTCTCCTCTTCAGTGGGAACTGCCAAAAATGACTGATAAATATGTAAATATGAATTCTTATTAAAATCTTACTCTAGAATACAAAAAATGCCTATTTTAATTTTGCTTATTTAAAATTCAGCATTTGAGCTACTCTATCCCAAATGCAAAATTGTCACATCTATAGTAAATCTATGAATTAGTTTAAATCAGATGGTTAAATCTGGGACTTTACTCCCAGAATCCCTCATCACTGACCATGGTGGCTGACAGTTTTTTGTGCTCAAGTCCAAAATATCTGCAAGACGAATGGTTGAGAAACACTGGCTTAAATGAACTGAAATGGAAACAGTAACTTGCACGACCAATTAAGCTAGTTCATTAATTTACATACAACTTTGGTAAGTGTGTCTAACTTCATAATCAATTAAGTAGTATAGAATAAGTGTTGTCACTGCATGTCAACAGGCTTCAACCAATAAGGGAAGAGGTTAGCATTCTTGGGACTAGCCCCTGACCAATCATGCTTTACAGGGAGCCAATGTTGCAAACCTGTTCTGACTTCAAGAGAATCTTGAGTGCAGCAGTGAGATGGGGAGTGAGGAGTGCAGTGTCCTGTTGTTGATTCACACAAGGCAGGGAATCTCCTCCTGGATCAGCACTTCCCTCTATAAATGTCCTCAATTTGATCCTGGTCTAAGCTCATAGCTATCTGTTGTTGTTTTACATTACTTTAACAACCAGCATCTAACCAAAAAAAACTTAAGAGCTAGGTCTGAACTAGATTACTATTGTATTAAACAAAAACATGCACACTGCATCAACTGAGAACGTAACATATCTGTTTCATTAAGTGCAATAAAAATGAATCCCCCTTTCTATGTGTTTCCTTTGAAATGCAGTAATTCAAAATCTGCCCACATCAGAACCCGTGTTTTTGCATTTGCTGAATGCCACATGACGGTGCAGTGATGTGGACACAGCTAAGCAAATATAATACTTTTGGGGGCTACCTTTGAAATTGATGCGGAAGTTTCAAATGGTGCAGAATGCGGCAGCCAGATTACTTAGTGGAACGAGAAAATGCCAGCATATCTCTCCCACTCTGGCTACTTTGCATTGGCTGCCCATTCGTTTCCACACTGATTTAAAAGTGTTAATGATGACATCTAAAGCCCTAAACAGTTTAGGACCTCGATATCCAGCAGAACTCCTTCTCCCACCTAGATCTACTCAAGTCACATAGCCAAAAAAGACGGCCGAGGGGCCTAACACGAGAGAGGCCCGGAAAGAAAGAACAAGAAACTGGGCCTTCTCGGCAGTGGCTCCTCGACTTTGGAACAGCTTGCTATCAGAGATCTGTTTGGCACCCTCGCCGGGTATTTTTAAGAGCCAATTTAAGACTTGGCTCTTTAGGCAGGCCTTCCCTCCTGTCAATACTTGACTTTTACCTTTACTTAGTTTTTTGTCTATTTTCCCATCTTGATCACACTAATATGTCATTTTAATTTATTATTTCAACTGTTTTATGAATGATTTTATTGTGACACCCCTAAGTAGACATTGTCTAGAAGGGCTGGATAAAAGTGTAATAAATAAATAAAATAAATATCTAACTACAAGGAAGAACTAGATCACAATACCTTGTTTCAGTCAGAATTTTTTTGTGTGTACAGTAGAGCTAGAGCACTGTCATTTCAGTATTATAATTAAGCTTTATATTTGTTTGCAGCTTTTCTCTAAGTATATTAGTTGTGCTACAACACCCATTTACACTATTTACTACCATATATGCAATATAGGAACATTTCAGAAATACTGACTTTTAATTCCATTCATTTAAAATATGAACTAAAGCAAACACTAGCCCTGAATCATATCTTCAACGCATCCTCTGTTTTAAAGGTTCTAAGTACAGACTAATTAATTCCCAGTATCTCACTGGGAACAGTGCAGAATAATTCCTCCAGTAAACATTCAACAAGCTTAACAAACACTATGCAACTATCTTTCCCAACTCCACTGAGATCTTTCAGGAAGGAGAAAGGTGATAGTTAAATATCTCTCAAGTGCCCTGGCTGACTAATTATATCACTATTTGCTCATTTTTCATAAGCTGCTTCCCTCCTCTACAGCAGTTTTTCATTTGACTTCAGTGGAAAATTTAGGATTTAAATATTCTAACACCGCACAAATGTCAGTAACCAGAAAGAGCAGCAATTATAATAGTGCAATCTCACACCTGTCTTCGAAAGTAAATGCATTATATGAATAGAGTTTACTCCTGTGTATGTTTTAGCCTGACTGTGATTTTTTAAACAGCTTAAATATGTAATCCTAAAATCATTTGGGCTGAATATCTGGATTTACATTAGGCTGTGACCTCACAAAAGTTTAACTCACTTGTGGATTGACTATCATTTGGAAAAAAAACCAATACTCAGTCTGTACCTAGATACAGTCATGCCTCGCTTTACAATTGCCCCGTATAACAACGAATCCGCTTAATGAAGCTTTTTTGCGATCGCAAAACGATGCTTCCTATGGGCAAAATCCGCTGTGCGATATCGGTTCCCTGCTTCGGGAACCGATTTTTCGCATTACGATGATCAGCAAACAGCTGATCGTCGGGTTCGAAAATGGCCACCAGCTGAAGAAAATGCCCCCCTGCTGTTTTCTAGGACGGATTCCTCGCTAGACAGGCACCGAAAATGGCCGCCGTATGGAGGGTCTTCGCTGGACGGTGAGGTTTTAGCCCATTGGAACACATTAACCAGGTTTTAACGCGTTTCAATGGGTTTTTTAATTTTTGCTTTACGATGTTTTTGCTCTAC